CCAATAAAGTGACCCTCACAGTGTGGAAGGTCGCATTACTATTATTGCGTATTTCCTGTTGACTGATCTTAATATTGTCTTGATGGCGCGGGTTGAGATCGTGTGAAACTCGTGTTACATGCCAGACGAGGTAAAATTATTAATCGGTTATAGTCCTTCTCGTTTGAGTCTTGTTGACTTTTCGAAAAAAAACAAAACAAAACCCTACTACTTAAATGGAATGTTATATCTATCGCGCAAAATCAGATGACTGGTGTGAAGTGCTGGAAAAACTTCTCTTACGACTTTTACCTCCACCGTGCCTCCGTCTGTCGCACAACGCTACGTGAGCGCAGCGTTACGTTATAGAGAGATGGCCAGAACTGGATTAGTGTTGTGATTGTTTTCGGAATAGGGAAGGCTTTCAAATTTTCATAAGCCAAACAGAGGTGGCGCGTTCACAACAGCCCGTTTTGCAATAGATAGGGTGTATCTTGTATGTATTGTGACCTATCTGGTCTGTAAACAGGTTCCGGCTGGAAGGATCTGGCCGCGGCTGAAAGAGCCGTGAAGCAACTTGGCTGAGAGTGACGTCACTGAGGGGGGAATGGGATGAGGATAAGGTCGTTCCCCTCTCTCTCCTCTGTCGTCCCGCTCAGTCCTCGTCCCATCCTCGACTGGAGAGCCTGTGTACAGGCTATAACGTATTCTGATCGAAACTGGAGTGGACTATAGAGCCATACAGATATATAGGATCACACAGTCGAACTTAGGGTACTGCATTCCCACTCCTAAATCCGCCAAGGTATTTGTCGTGGAACCGTTTCTCTAATTTTGTATTTTGTAGTCAGCATAACGCAACCTACATAGCGTAGAAATAGTGTTTTTCCTCTTCTTTTTTCCTTCTTGTGTGTGCATTTGTGCTTCAGTTTTCTTGCTGACCTGTATTTTATTTCTATTTAATGCTGATGTTAACTGGCTGCCTGGCACCGCTAGCCCCTATGGTTATTCCAGGCAGCTAGTACTCTAGTACTCTTTTTAACATTTTCATTGTTGTAATTTCTTATTTTGAGCGAGAGTGGGTGCAAATAAAGATTGATGAAGGCGTACCGGTTTTCTTCCACGGAGGCGAACAATATATCAGCTATTGCTGAGTGATCGAGAATGTGAGGCGGACGAGAGTGTAGATCTTTCGGGGGTCAATGAAAGAAAACTTGTTTGGTGGGGTCCACAGACTATATATGAGGTAGCTGATCCTGTAACGATTCACTTCAGACCAGGCTTAGCGTCAGTCCGAATGATGGCTGGGCGTCTTATACCCTGTCCACACCAACATGTTAAACATGTTTAAAAAGGGTTTAACTAAACAAGGTTAAAAATTAGTTGCTTATATCGTACACACCCCACAACTAAACAGGGTAAAAACCTGTTTGATTCAAATTTGTTAGCAAGATAGTTTGAAGTTTGTCTTCTCAAAATGACTGCAAAGTGTAATCGACAAACTGGAAAAACCTAAACCTGATTTTGTTAAACTAGTTTGGTTGGTGTGAATGGGGTATAAGACTATCAAGTGACTCGAATCATTTCAACAAATGGTTAAACGGGTTCTACTACAGGGAAGTGAACATATTAATATCATGGAATAACGAAAAGCCATTTAGGGATAGTCATCAGCGAGAAAAAAGTATACTTATAGTTTTATTGTTTATGAAACCTGTTCCAGGCGTTCGGTCAGTTGGGAAACAGCGCAACT